TGGCCAGGTGGCGGTGGCCCGGGCATGAGGACTGGCTGGGGTAGAGGGAGGTCGATCTTGGCTCCTACTTTTCCATATTTTTGTTCTGAAGGGAAGTTCAGGAAGTTGTCGGATATCATACGTGAAGTAAAACACCTTTAATCCCTCTAGATGTTGGAGTCTCCTCATAGAGCGTGCGCATCTTCTCATTCGCGATCATCTCACCAGCTGACTGAAATATTATGCTTCCCCATCCCTCGACAAAGGTATTAGCTTCTGCGACAACCTCCATGATTTCTGCTTCTAGCTCTTTCTCTGCTTGCAGAAGACTATTCCAGAGGTCATCGCCGATTGACCCTTTCTGCAGAAGATTTTGTAGAGCAGGCTTGTCTTCGCGGAGTCTAACAACACGAGAGACGTCTGTCATTGCACGGCGAACGAGAGCGGCTTTGAGAAGGGCTTCATGAGCTGGAGGGTCGGTCTTCTGTAGCAAGGAAATGTAGACATCGCGTTCTGGATGCGAAGAAAAGTAGGGTTCGTACAGTTTGCCTGTTACACGTCACACGTCAGTATGCACGATCATGAAACTGCTCGCGGTTCTTACCTGCACTGCGTTTTCTGTAGAAATGGCTGAAGAGTAGTAAACTTGAAATGACTATTCCGACATATAGGACGGGAACCAGGACTGAAGCCATGATGGCAGCTGGAGACGTGGAGTAAGACTTGCAGATTCACTGTTGCCAACTCAATGTGCCACGCGGAAGCTTTGTCCATATTTGTATCAATTTGCCGGCGGAGCTTCTAAATGTGGCAAGCTTGTTCTCGGGTTTCTTGAATACCGAACTTCACATGCATGGGAGCGGGAGTCTTATGTACTTGCGCTTGGTCCGAGTACTTATAAGACATATCCTCCGCTTTTTACTTCCAGCTAACTCACTACTTTCACTATGATTGGTCGTTCTTCTTTTTTTCCAAAGTCTGTCGCCAGAAATATATCTACCAATGGTTTTAGGCGTCTGGCTTCCACCAAGGTACTTAATATCACCGCCTTATTTCGGTGGTGTCTTTGCTCAGAAAAGCTTTCAAGTCTCTCAAAGAAACACTTCAAGAAGTGATCCCGGCGAAGCAAGAGCAACTTAAGAAGCTGGTCAGTTGCGTTTCTTTTAAACATATTAGTTTGACATTAGTGCCCATCCTGTAATAGAAAGCCGAACACAGTCAAGCTGTAGTGGGGGAAGTCAAGGTCAGTCATTCATTCCACAGCCGTGGAGCTGATTGACGTGTCACATAGGTGGAGAACATCCTGGGTGGAATGCGTGGTCTCAAAGCCATGCTCTGGGAAGCTTCAGTCCTGGACCCGAACGAGGTTCGTGACAATTGCCGAACTGCTGAGGTGACTGACGCTAAAGCATTATCTAGGGCATCCGTTTTCACGGACTGACTATCCCAGATTGTCAAAAGGTTCTCCCACCAGCACCCGGCGGCAAGGAGATGACAGCTGAGAGCATGCTCTGGCTTCTTCTGACCGGAAAAGTTCCTACTCCGGAGCAAAGCCGTCAACTGTCCGCCGAGCTTGCAGTGAAGGGAGAACTCCCGCATTTCGTCACGCAGCTTGTAGACTCGTATGTCCCTACCTACTGTGTCTACCATCTGTTTATTCAATTTATTAGCCTACCAAAGACCCTCCACCCCATGACTCAGTTGGGCATGGGTGTTGCAGCTTTGAACCATGACTCGGAGTTTCAAGCAGCCTATGAGCGTGGAATCAAGAAGCCGGAGTATTGGACGTATACTCTTGAAGACTGTTTGAATCTCATTGCCAAACTCCCTGCTCTGGCGGCCCGTATTTATCGGAATGTTTACCACCCTGAGAGGTCTTTAGAATCTGTCGATAAGAACCTGGATCTTGTTGGTTAGTATATGGCTAGTATCATTTGCAAAGACATGTTTAGTGTGCGTACAGGTAACTACTCCAACATGCTCGGGTTTGGTCAAAACGAGCACTTGACGGAGTATCTCCGTTTGTACATCGCGTTGCATGGTGATCATGAAGGTGGTAATGCTTCAGCTCACACTGCTCGTGAGTACTCCTCAACGTCAATACTGTATCCGTTTTTGACGACAACGATCAGACCTCGTCGGATCAACACTCTCTGACCCGTATATCTCCTACTCTGCCGCTCTCTTTGCACTCGCTGGACCTCTTCATGGGTGCGCTTCCAGTCATTGCATGTGTAGTTTAAACGTCATCATATACCTTCAGTCTAGCGAACCAGGAGGTACTGAGATGGCAGATGGCCATGCAGAAAGAGATTGGTGACAACATAACTCATGGGAACATCAAGGACTACCTCTGGAAGACGTTGAAGAGTGGTCAAGTCGTTCCCGGGTGTGTCTCTTGTGTGCTATGTCTGACGGGCATATCCTGACCTGATATCTAGATACGGGCACGGAGTCCTGCGTAACCCTGATCCTCGATTCATTGCTCTTCAGGAATTCTGCAAGACTCGCCCAGAGTTGCAAGCAAGTCCCATAATTCAGCTCGTGCAACAGGTCAGAATTGCTATTACTGTCATATCTCACATAACACTTATCTATCTGCATAGACGGCCGAGATTGCCCCTGACGTTCTCAAAGAGCATGGAAAGGTGCGTGCACTCGTTTGCAAATGGTGTAATTCTGCTGACATTATTCTAAAGACGAAAAATCCTTACCCGAATGTTGATGCAACCTCAGGCAAGTCCTTCCACGCATGGCATAATCCTGGGTCCTGAGGATCGTTATGAAAGGCTGCGTGTTGTACCATTACGGTCTGACTGAGTTCAAGTACTACACCGTTATCTTTGGTGTTTCCAGAGGTAAGCAACCGCCTGCTAACTTTCTCATTTTGCTCATGTGCCACAATCTAGCTTTGGGAGCTCTGACCCAATTGGTGTGGGCCCGAGGTCAGTATTGATGGTTTCTTATAGTATAAGGGTGCTGATGCATGTGATGAATATAGCACTAGGACTTCCTCTCGAGCGGCCTAAATGTACGTATCTGATGAAAATAGTACATGTGATAAGGCTGATCGGTGTTTTTACTCAGCATATTCGATGGACGCCCTTCAGAAGCTCATCAAGAACTAGATAGACATCACAGAGACGCTGAGATTTCTGATTTCGCGTAGGAGTGAGGGCATCTGGCACTATTTTATTGGAACCACATTTATATCCCGCAAAATATGGAAAGACAATAAAAACGCCATACATGGTATCTTACACCTATACTGAAGAGATTCGAAGGAGAATGACAATATCGCCAAGAAGGTCAGACTAGATCGATCACTAAAAGACGAAAGAAAGAAAAATCCAGAGTCAGTGAGTTCATGACACCTATGGAGGCATCGGGTACCAAAAAAGACAAGGAGAGGGTAAGGGGGTAAAGAAGACTGTCTCATGATGAACTGTCCAGGTATATACGAGTATCAGAAACGTCTTGGCATTGGCTGCTGCTGTTGAGCAGGGGGTATTTGTTGTGGGTATGGTTGTTGTGGGGGCGGTGCACGGCCAGGGAGCATAGCGGGCGGAGGGCCACTGGAGGGACCCGGCATGCGGTGCTGCTGAGGTTGGGGCTGACGTCCAGGAGGAAATCCTTGATAACCGCCTTGAGCAGGACCAGGGGAGATGGACCCTGGAGGCGGCATGGACCCCGGCGGTGGTATGGACCCAGGAGGGGGCATGAATCCTGGAGGGGGTCCTTGTCCAGGTGGAAATCCTCTTGGAGGGGGGAATCCTTGCGGGGGACGACCACCCGGGGTGGGTCCTGGCCCTCCCTGGGAATGAGGAGGTGGTGGACCACGGGGTGGATGCTGCTGGGATGGACCAGGGCGTGGTTGATTTTGGGGAGGTGCGGACGCTGGAGCTGGGTCGTGAAGCGCAACAGGCGTCGGTCGACCGCCAGGGCCAGGCGGACTGTTTGGTATGGGACCAGGTGTGGCAGGTGGAGGTGGATTCTTCTCAGCAGCCTTGATGATCTCATCGCTGTTTCAGGTAAGCGTGGGATAGATACATGATAAGGTGGTGAATGACATACTCGAGAAGGTTCAGTACTGCGCAGAGAACGACCCATTCGACACAATCCTCATTCCCCTCTCCCAAGGTCTGCCAGACTGCTTTTTCTTCGGGTGATTTTCCAGTGATGCTAATTCTAGTTCCGCCACCGTTTGGACCTGGGGGGTTCTTCTGTATCTTTCCGAATTCGATGCGCTTTGGGGGAATATTATGACCTGCATAAGCGAAGTAGAACATGCTCCAGAAAGCAGCATTAGGATTTGGTTTTGATATTTGAAAGAGGGGTAAATCGGGAGAGTCTGGGGACGGCAGGGAGAGCTTGTAGATGGGTGATATGACACCTGTGTTGGTAATCGTCCATTTCAGATTACGGGAAGCTTCGCATCTGACATAGCGGGCAGCGGAAGAGCTTGAATGGCCAGGGTCGGATGCAGTAGATTTACCAGGATTCTGGCGCGGGGGGAAAAGCTTTGCGACACAGAGGTCACCTTGGGGAGAGGGTGTCAAAAGATAGTTCTCGGAATTCTAATGACGAGATATTAAAGAAGGGATTCAAGATAAGCGGGTTATATGACTTACAAAGTTTGTGTGAAGGTAAGAGTAGAGAATGTTAGACGGTTGACCTGTTTTTATTAATTAATGAGACATTGAATGAAACTGATTGAAACTCGCCATGAGGAGTTACTATGAGAGTAGGAAGATGGTTTGGTATGGGCGGGTGAGTAGGAGAGGTATATACGGCGTAAATGGCTAAAGACCGAAAATCAGCTTGTATCAATGAAAAGGCAATCGAAACGTACCAGCCATGGAGGAAGAAGACAAGTTGTGGTGACTTCCAGAAAAGGAACACCACCTCAGTACTGAGTCTGTGGGCTGGACGACGAGTTGTGACTTGTGACTGAAATGTGATGTTGAGTCACACCCTTCATCGATCCCAACAGCAACAGCAACCAACAAGTAGCGACTGCTATGAAGGGGCTCAAGAAATCTTTCGTTAGTTCATCCATTCATCACTGTCCAATATATCTAATATTATCCACAGCTTAACAGGAAGAGTTCTCAAGATTCTTCCTCATCAAAGTCTAAAGATCAAAAATCTACCTCTACTTCACAAGTAGCTCCTCCACCACCACCACCAAACACAGCAAAGCCACTTCCTCAACCTGTTTCAAGTGGTCTGCCAGGCGCATCGGTTAACAACTCTAGTAATCACTCTCTCACTTCACAAGGTTCCTCTTCCTCAGGCCGTCCAGCTTCTGCTACTTCAATCACTCCTTCTCCACCAGATCGCAGGTACCCTTCCACAGGGAATCCATCCCCCATTCCTCCAATTGTCGTCGTTAGCTCAGACCCATCATCTGAACTAGCACCCCGCTCAGGTCCATATAGTTCTCCAGAACGTAGCACAATTGGTCTAGATGGCACTTCCACTCCTCCGCGCGCAAACACACTCAACCGTCTACGTTCTGGTCCGCGCGATACAATCCCTATCGTCGGAAAACCTCCACGCAAGCAGCGTAGCAGTCGCTTCGTTGTCACTGAAAAGGTTGACATCGAAAAATTGCCCCCTTTCTCAGGTATTTACTAGTTCCGTTAAGACCCGTGTCGCGTCACTAATTATTCACTTTATTCAGATATTCCCATTAACGAGCGTTCTCTCTTATTTATCAAGAAGCTCAATCAGTGCCGCGTCTTATTTGACTTCAATGACGCGAGTGCAGAGCTTAAAGGTAAACAAATCAAGGCACAGACGTTACACGAAATGCTCGAGTATATCACAACTCAAAGGAATGTTATCACTGAAAACATATACCCCGAGGTCGTCAACATGGTTAGTCTCAAATTACCCAACATTCATCTTCCACTCACCTCTCAAATTAGTTTGCTGTCAACCTCTTCCGATCAATACCCCCGCCTGTTAACCCAACCGGTGATGCTTTTGACCCCGAAGAAGATGAGCCTGTCTTGGAACTCGCCTGGCCTCATCTCCAGATTGTGTACGAATTTTTTCTTCGCTTCGTCGAGAGCCCAGATTTCAACACCAATCTTGCCAAACGATACATTGACCAACCTTTCGTGCTAAATCTCCTCGAACTCTTTGACTCTGAAGACCCCCGCGAGCGCGACTTTCTCAAGACTACCCTACACCGCATTTACGGTAAATTCCTCAACCTTCGGGCCTTTATCCGTCGGTCGATAAACAACGTCTTTTATCATTTCATTTACGAATCGGAGAGACATAATGGGATCGCAGAGCTCCTTGAAATATTGGGCTCAATCATCAACGGTTTTGCCCTACCTCTAAAGGACGAGCACAAGACATTCTTAACCCGCGTGCTCCTTCCCCTACATAAAGTCAAGAGTCTTTCGCTTTATCACCCCCAACTTGCATACTGTGTCGTGCAGTTCCTAGAGAAAGATCCAGCCCTGGCGGAGGAGGTTATGCTCGGACTGCTCAAATACTGGCCCAAGGTCAACTCCCCAAAAGAGGTCATGTTCCTGAATGAAGTCGAAGAAGTACTTGATGTCACCGATCCCTTGGAGTTCCAGAAGATCCAGGTTCCACTATTCCAGCAACTTGCCCGATGTATCAACAGCCAACACTTCCAGGTCGCTGAGCGAGCCTTGCTATACTGGAACAACGAATACGTAGTCAATCTCATGAGCGATAATCTAGCTGTTCTCCTCCCAATCGTCTTTCCTGCGTTGTATACAAATTCCAAGAGCCACTGGAACCGGTGCGTCAACCGTTTCTATCAATGGACGGCTACTCACCTCTCGTTAGGACTATTCATGGGATGGTGTATAATGCACTAAAGTTGTTTATGGAGATCAACCCAGAGTTGTTTGACGACACGATGCAACACTACAGGCAACGGAAGATTGAGTAAGTTCACTGATATTCTACCTCGGTTTAATATGAACCCAAGACCACAGGGAACAACAACATGCTGTTGAGCGATATGAGCAATGGCAGAAAGTCCGCGAGAAGGCAATACAGAATGCTGGCGGGAAGTTGCCTCCAGGATTTCAAGAGGTCGAACGTTTACCCCCACCGCCTCCATCTCCTAATGATGATTCGGATATTCTGGACTTGTCGATGGAGCTGAATGCAGTATCACTTGATGGTGATATTCCGGGTGACTTGGACGAATCGGGTATCGAACGAGTGCCCATGGCTGACCCTGGGTTGGATGTGAGTGGCGTCTCGACCATCAACAATCTTGGTGCACCTGTTTACCACATGGTTTCAGCGTGAGTTTCCCCAAGTCGGAGGTGATCATTCACCTGTTTCTCAGAGTCCTCATGTACGACGAAAGAGCGTTCTTCCCGGTGCGTGCCTTTTCATATTATCAATCCGCAGTTTAAGCTTATACCTCGTGTTCAGTGGATCCGACTGTAATTCGCGACCTACAAGCTCATCGGAGCTTGGATGATACTCTTGGAATCGGGGGGCATCATACAAATGGGGCATAATCGCATGACCGCGTATTCTTTTTCGTATAATCATGACTGCGAATTGACAAGATACTATCTGAGCTTCAGACCCACATGACTGACGACATTTCCAATTCAATTCTGCGCTACCTCATTTCTGCCTGTGTTATACTTCTCGACCGACATCAGGGCTATTCTACTTGGTGCACAGCGTGTCACTATGTCCTGATGAACAAGCCTGGAGCGTTTACAGCATTTCGTTATATGCTTCTGAAATTTCTTTTTACCACTACCGTACGATACATATCCTCTAGAGAAGTATTTTGGACATTATCGTGACCAACAACATAGCCAATGTCATTGTTCTCAAGGGTTAACGGTTAGGGCAGTGACCCTGGTTAAGGGAGTATGTCATGTTGTGGTTATGTAATCGATCTACGTCAGGAAAGAACCCTCTAGAATGATGAAGGAACGTCCTGGAATGACGAAGAATATCTTTCATATAAAAGATGTCAATTCGCGTTCGATCTTTCTTCACTGTTATCTTTTTCCTCAGTCCTATATAGGTGAGCTCGAAGAGCATTAACTTCATCTAAACACGTCCTAAATCCTCACAAGAATCCTAATCTCTCAAAATGTCGCCATCCAAAGCCATTGGTATCGACTTGGGCACAACCTACTCGTAAGTTTGGTTCTAGGGCTTCCATTGCCAATGCTCATGAAATCGTCTAGTTGTGTCGGCGTTTGGCAAAATGACCGTGTTGAGATCATCGCCAACGACCAGGGTAACCGTACTACCCCCTCTTATGTCTCCTTTTCGGACAGCGAACGGTTGATTGGTGATGCTGCCAAAAACCAGGTCGCTATGAACCCCCACAATACGTAAGTTTCGACCCTTGGTCTCTTCCTTTTTCGTACTAACCCGTCTGCGTAGCGTTTTCGACGCCAAGCGTCTTATCGGTCGTAAATTCGACGATCCTGAGGTTCAGTCGGACATCAAGCACTTCCCCTTCACTGTTTTCAGCAAGGGTGGTAAGCCTTACATCAGAGTGGAGTACAAGGGAGAGCAGAAGGAGTTTTCTCCCGAGGAAATCTCGTCGATGGTTCTTCTTAAGATGAAGGAGACCGCTGAGTCTTACTTGGGCTACAATATCAACGACGCTGTCGTCACCGTCCCTGCCTACTTTAATGACTCCCAGAGACAGGCTACAAAGGACGCTGGTACTATCTCTGGAATGAACGTTCTTCGTATCATCAACGAGCCCACTGCTGCTGCCATCGCATACGGTCTCGACAAAAAGGTTGTCGGTGAGCGCAACGTCCTCATCTTCGATCTTGGAGGAGGAACCTTTGATGTGTCGCTTTTGACCATCGAGGAGGGTATATTCGAGGTGAAGGCCACTGCTGGTGACACTCACTTGGGTGGTGAGGACTTTGACAACCGACTCGTCAACCACTTCGCACAAGAGTTCAAGCGCAAGCACAAGAAGGGTGGGTTAAATTTATATCTATTATTTTCTGGGCTAACAATGTAACAGATCTCTCCTCCAACCCTCGTGCGCTCCGTCGTCTACGGACTTCCTGCGAGCGTGCCAAACGAACTCTGTCGTCGGCCACCCAGACTTCCATCGAAATTGACTCCCTCTTTGAGGGTATTGATTTCTATACTTCCCTTACTCGTGCCCGTTTCGAGGAGTTGTGCGCGGACCTGTTCCGCAGCACGCTCGAGCCCGTCGAGAAGGTCCTCCGGGACTCTAAGATCGACAAGGCGAACGTTCATGAAATTGTCCTTGTCGGCGGCTCCACGCGTATTCCCCGTATCGTTAAGCTCGTGTCCGACTTCTTCAATGGCAAGGAGCCCAACAAGAGCATCAACCCTGATGAGGCCGTTGCTTACGGTGCTGCCGTTCAGGCTGCCATTCTTTCCGGCGACACCTCTGAGAAGACTCAGGACCTCCTGCTTCTCGATGTTTCTCCTCTATCGCTCGGTATTGAGACTGCCGGTGGTGTCATGACCGCCCTCATCAAGCGCAACACCACTGTCCCCACCAAGAAGTCTGAGACATTCTCGACATACTCGGACAACCAACCTGGTGTCTTGATCCAGGTGTACGAGGGTGAGCGTGCGCGCACGAAGGACAACAACTTGCTCGGCAAGTTTGAGCTATCTGGCATTCCCCCGGCACCTCGTGGTGTTCCTCAGGTCGAGGTCACCTTCGACATTGACGCCAATGGTATTCTGAACGTCTCCGCATCTGACAAAACTACCGGCAAGTCAAATCGCATCACAATCACCAACGACAAGGGTCGCTTGTCTGCAGAGGAGATCGAGCGCATGGTCAACGAAGCTGAGAAATACAAAGGTAAGTTTCTGCTCTTCTACGTTACTTGCATCCATAAATTGACTTTGCTATCTTACAGCTGAAGATGAGGCCGCGGCTGCTCGCATTCAGGCCAAGAACGGCCTTGAATCATATGCATACAACCTGCGCAATTCTATCACTGACGAGAAGCTTGCTGACAAGTTCGACCCCGCCGACAAGTCGAAGCTCGAGAGCTCCGTCAACGAGACTATCTCGTGGCTGGATGCATCACAGGAAGCCTCAAAGGAGGAGTATGAGGGAAAGCAAAAGGAGCTGGAGAGCATCGCCAACCCTATCATGCAGAAGCTCTACGGTGCTGCAGGTGGTGCTCCTGGCGGTTTCCCCGGTGCTCCTGGAGGTGCACCAGGTGGTTTCCCTGGCGCGAGCGAGGACGGTCCTTCTGTGGAGGAGGTCGATTAAAGCAGCCGCTTGTTCTCTTGTTTGCCTACTGTTTTTGTTGCGCATTTTACGTCATTTCCATCGCATAGCACGGTACGAGTGTGTCATGAACCAATAATGTCCTTACTACAATCGAGTGTATGTTACATTATCGCATTTCCTAGAATGAATTTCTCTTCCATATCTTCATTTGTAATGCAAACGTTTCTTCATATGTGAATGCATGAGTCCTTGAGCTGATCAGATAAGTACTAGTATAGATGAAGTATTATTGCATGCTATCTCAGTATGTCAATCTTTACTCTTGCGTGCGTAAAACAGGCTTCTGTATCTGGAACGGTGAGCGTCGACCATGGCACAAATGCCCTCAAGGACAAGACCCCCTCAACACATGACAAGGTTTGTTATATTGAAAGTTATCAGGAAAAATCAGCACAAAACTAGTCTCCAGGAATGTCTACGACCAGCTCTTTCATCACGGGTCAAGTCTCTCCAAGCTAAGAGATGCGATCGCAGCAGGCCGCCTTCTCCACTCTTCAGATGGCGGTATCGGTGTACCAGGGAGAAGTCTAGCATGGAAGGCAAGGGGAACACAGTGAATCAGACTACGTACTCACATCGACTCCCATTAGCTGTTCCTCTTGAAAAACGTGCCACTGGAACCTCCACCTCACGAAATAGCAGTACCACCGCTGGAGGCTTTACGCGCCTACAGAAAGCAGTACTCCGAGCTACTGCTGGAGAAGATGCGTGCTCCAGATGGGTCTTATGATGAGACTTTTGTCGTGCCAGGCCTTACCATTCCAAGGAGGAACGTCAAGCCGCCAACAGACTTGGAGATGAACAACCCTCTTAGCTTACATGATGAGGTACGCAAACGCTTTTGCATGTACTCAACCATCGTCTTACTGGTGTGAATTGAAGAACCCTTGGAGGGAATGGTTTGCAGCTGTAGACCTCCGGAAGACTATCCAGCAAGATGTTGAGCGGACGTGAGTTCCGTTCTCAAAGATTTACAGTCTATGGCACATCTTCTTTTCTGCAGTTTCCCTGATATAGGCTATTTTCGCGACGATGATGTACAGCAACAACTCACTAATATTTTGTTCCTATACGCTGTCATGCATCCCGATATTGAATATCGGCAAGGCATGCATGAGTTACTTGCACCCGTGTACTATGTTGTAGGTATGTGATCCAACCGCTCTTGTGTCTTCCATGTGTCCGCAGTCTATGTCTTGTCTGCTTGGTCCGCTCATATGACTGTTTTCAAAGCTGAAGAATAAATATCTTTGGCTGTAGATTATGACTCCACTGCCGATGACGCTACATCATCGTCGGACGACTCTGTCTTTCGGGAGGTTTGCTCGCGGACGTGGATTGCAGCTGATTCATGGGCACTTTTTTGCGCGATCATGAACGATATCTCCAAGTGGTACGAGTGGCGCGAACCATCATCTGTTGAAACGTCCTCTGCCCGTGGTCAAGTCAACTTTAAGCCATACATGTCACCTATTAACCTGGCCTGCAACCACATTCAAAATAATCTGTTGAAATCTGTCGATCCCATTCTTCATGGCGTGTTGCAGAGCTCGGGCATCGAGCCACAAATTTATGGCTTGTGTGTGCTTTCATGTCTCCTGGACCCTCTCAGGCTAATCTGATCGATCACATTATCAGACGATGGCTTCGTCTGTTGTTCACTCGTGAACTTTCTATGGATGATGCGATGATATTATGGGACGGGCTGTTCGCGAACCCAATCCCAATTTCTGAGCTCGCTCAGTGGATATGCGTGGCTATGCTTATACGGATACGAACCAAATGTGAGTCTCAATGTCCTCTTGAGTTGTATTTAGACAGTAATGGTCTGTAGTGATCGCATCGGACTATAGCATGCAACTAACATACCTATTGCGATACCCTCCTTCTCAGGCGGAAGATGGAGCCCCGCATCACACAATCCTACTACTTCGTCAAGCATCGTCGCTAGAAATGTCCCGTACACCATCCGCGGGCGCGGTTGTGATGACTGAAAACCGCAACCTTTTAAATATTCCCCTGGAAGCACCTGATCCACCCGTCCAAACGAGGCGGAGGGCACGTCCTCCGATTTCCTCATCAGATTTTCATGGAACTTCCTCTGCGCAAGGAGAGCATATGCGTCAATCGCCCCCGTTCCAGATAGGGCTCCCAGAATTGATTGCTCGGGGGCTCATGGATCGCGGGGAGAGCCTCGGGATCAACAAGACTGTAATGAATGCGGTGTCCGAACTG